GTGATGAAGGTTGGAAATCACTTCTTTATATATTTCTTTTCTTTTTCTTTACTATATTCTTACTTTTCTATTTCTCTATTTTTTTCTTTTCTGCACCTTTTACTCTTTCTATTCTTTTATCTTTTAGTTTGTATTAGTTTTTACTATTGTAATTATAATCTTTAATAAAATTACTATTATACACACACACACACACACACACACCTGCTATCTTTCTGTTTTGCCTTAAAAAAAAATTGTACCTGGATACTCTGGATAGCAAATAGTTAGTGGACTCCTCCGTATCTTTTCCTCAAACAAATCCTTCTTGTTCAGGAAAAGAATGATCGATGTATCTGTGAACCATTTGTTGTTACAAATGCTGTCAAAGAGTTTCATACTCTCATGCATTCGATTCTGGGTAAAAAAAAACATTTAATGAAAAGGCAGCACTGATACATTACATAATTAGCAACCCAAACCAAATTACTAGTGCAAATTATATAAATTGTCAAAAATAATTCCCACACTGAAAGTACAAATATCCCTTCAAACATGCTGAATAATGTCTACATTTTTGTAAAATTAGTTACAAAAAGCCTCTGAAATATCACAATCTTTTGCAGCTTTTTACCAGAGGCTGTTTTTTCCCACCGCAAATCATGTATTCAAACTCAAGTGTTCAGATTCAATTATGGGGAAGAGGGGATTTTATTCTCCATAACCTCCCAACCTCAAATGTGCCACTGCAGCATTCACTGCACAAATTATGAGAATGCAGGCAAGAAAAGCTTGCTCCTATGCTCTACTTAAGTGTTGTTTACAATTTGTAATTTTCAAAGAATGAAAACAGCAAAACATTTGGTTAAATTACATTGTGCAGAGCTTAAAGTGAATTTCTACCACAGTTCACATTATTTAGAATGCAATACTATAGCAACATACCATTTCTTCATCCTCAGCAAGGACAAGGTCATAATCACTGAGAGCTACACAGAATATAATTGCTGTTACTCCTTCAAAACAATGGATCCATTTCTTACGTTCTGAACGCTGACCACCAACATCAAACATCCTGGCAGAAAAATAAATGACTTGAAGATTACACTTTAGCAAAATGAAAACTAAATCCATCTGTTCATTTATCACACAAATACACATGCAGAACAGGGGTTCTTTAATAAGCTGAAAACATCTATGCCAGCCCTGGAACCTAAAATGCTGAAGTTCATTAAAAAATCCACTGCTCTAATATTATTTTACTGCAAAAATTATAGAAGGCTTTTAATAACCACTGTCTGCATCTGTTTGTACACATTACTTCATGTAGTATTGGTTGTTTTGATGCTATTTTTGCTTTCTTTTTACTTTGTGGTATGTTGTCCAGGGTTATATGCTTGAGGCAGCTAACAAAATAAACAATACCAGGGCTGAGATTAACAATCAAATGCGAAATCCTTATTTTTCATTTAGTTCTATAAAGGAATGGGCAAAACTTCAGGGGCCCTCCCAACCTCAATATAGGCCATTTTGTATGAGTATTTCAGGAGCAGTCTATGAAACAAGCCAGTCTGAAAGACCATATTTGGTGAGCAGGATGGGTATGAAAAGAGGAGGAGGGAAAGAACATAATTATGTCACTCTAAAAAAGCCCTGATACACACCATACCCCTTTAAGCCCTCTTTCCTCTAGGCTCAAGCTTTTGCAACATTCTGAGGCCTTATTATACACAGGGTATACTACACAAATAAAATAGTTCAGACTTTTGTTCCAGTCCCGAGGGCAGAACCAGCAGATGATAAAGCAGCTGGCAGTGAAGAAACAATACTGACTGGCATTTCTTTACCACATGACATTGCAGAGCTGGGCACTGGAATATCTAGGCCTCCCACAAAAAAGCCACACAGGGGCTTTCACCTGAGACAGATTATCCCAAGAGAAATATAAACTTCGGTTTTGCCCGAAAACACCATTATGGCTGTCAGCGCAAGAAGCATTTTATAGACGAGAAATGGTAAGTTAAATTATTAACCTGCTGAGAAGTACTAGAATTTTCTCAAGGTGATTGTAAAATGAAATCAAGAGAAGATTTGATAACAGAAGGATATTCTTGTCAATGGTTTTCTTATGTACAATTAACAAAGGTTTAAAGTGGATAAAAGATTTTATGGTTTTGAACAAAGTAAGACTCAGTTTGAAATAGAATTATGTACTAGAGTAAGAAATAACTTTGCAATTGTACTTATATTTGCTGCAAAGGAAATCGGAAGCTTCTTTCTTTTTTCAGCACTTTTGCTTTTTCTCTCTCTTCTTTCCTTTCTTCTTTACTGTTTCTACTTTTTATTAATTTGTGTTCGTTTTTACGTGCTTTGTAAAACTTTTAATAAAACATTTATTTAAAAAAAGATTATCCCAACAGAACTTGCCCCTCATTAAAAAGAAAGAAAAAAAATAAAAGCTAAGGCGAATGGAAGGAGAAGGGCTTCGGTGCTTGTTTCAGTTTCAACAGGCTGAAGAGAAGATCATTCAATACATAAATTATGCTGCATTTATGTTGTTTTCACTACATCTATTTTATAAACTTTGTCTCATTCATCTTTGATGCAGGAAGATTATTATCCCATTATATACAAGGATAACAGAGGCTCAGCCAAAGTGATTTTTTCACAACTGATTTAAGTACAATTAGCCCAGAATCTATCTTACCCAATTCCAATTTCCTTAGGTTTACTTTTAGACTTTGTTACAGCTTTAAAATTATAATCAGCAAGATAAGTGTGGTGAATGATGGGGAACCTTTTGACTTTAATGGATCCTTACAGCTGGCATGAAAAGATGACTGTGGGAAATTCAGTTGAAGGAATACTATCTAGGTCTAACTAAATTACACTGGGAAGAGTGGCACAGTAACAAATGAGTGTGCCCTGTAATTTCATTATATGATTATTAGACTAGCTAACACTTTGGAGCTCCATGAACTATGAAAGCAAACGTTTCTTATCCCACCACAAAGCATGATGGTATTGTGCACCAGGAGGAATATGAACTCTTGTTGCTCTCATTCTGCATTGTGTTGTATTTTACAAAGCAGTTACAGTAATAGCAGAGCCAAGATGTTTGAAAGTATACAAAAAGGAAACATCACAAGTCCTACAAGGATCAATCAGGAGACAAGGTGGCAAACTACATGGAGGTACATGGTTAATATGTCATCCAGCCATGACATAATTAGGTATATCAGTGGAAAATAACACAGCCCCATTCTACATCAAGCACTATTAATGGTAAGCATTTAAACATCTATGCATGCTCCTTGCCAATGTTCTGTACTATTGCCTGGTTAATGCTATGTCTATTGTTTTGCTGAGAAAGCCATGCATTGTTCAGAGAGCCATGTTAATTTCAACTCCCACTGCAACACCAGAAAATAAATGCATGGCAAATTATAAAGTCTCTATGTGGGGCTTTTATATTTTACACTTCCAATCAACAATATAAATCAGAAGCCAGTATACTTTTAGTATACATGCTCCTGTAAAGCAAGGGTTCAGTACCTGTGTTTGTGATCCCAACATAAAAGCAGCTGAAAAGAATGAAACAATGAAAATAAAAAAGTGGACTGTATCAAGAATCACTAGCAACAGAATTGGAAAGATACGTTATGTGAGCCAGAGTCAAAGACTGTACCACAAGTGCAGAGGAGCAATACATTTTACACCAAGAAATTGTGATTTAAGAGTACACATAAATGGCAGCTTATAACCCATAACATTGCTTACTTGAAGTACAAGTCCTTGAAGGTGAAATGTGTTTCTACAATGCCTGTTGTTTTCACTCTGGTTCGTAGAACATCTTGTTGGGTTGGAATGTAGCTCTGCTGGGATATTCTGTCCAAGTCATTTAGGTAGCTAAAAAAAGAATGGGAAAGAAGAGGAAAGAAGAGAAGGGGAGAAAATATTCAGGAACTTTTTGCAAATTGATACTGTAATTATTGAGTACTGAAATTCAAGCAGGTGCTATACAGAATGTCTACGATTCTCTAATTCCATGTTAAGATACGTCTTAGTTCAAAGTTATAATTTAAACTAGAATCAATGGTCGTATTTTAGATTCTTATAGGAAACCTACATAGAGATCTGATTTAAAATGTAACTTATTAATTGAGAGTCCAATACTTTCCAGAAAGCCCATACTACTTTTCTCTACTTTTAAATTAATTAGGAACTAGTACACCTTGTATCAAAGTAGCTCCTAATTTTATTATTATTTGGAACAGAGACAATCTGCTAGTTGTAGCTGTTGTTGGATTCCAGCTCCTATTACTCCAAGCCAACATGGACAATGGGAGTTGTAGTGCAACAAGATTTCTATCACTATCAGTTGCCTATTTCTAAGTTAGAATACAGAAAACAGGCTTACCTTTGTAGTCTTTAAAACAAGTTTGGTGCCATACAAAAAAAATATTAGTAATATATTTCTCCTGTTGTTTAAATGCCCACAGATACCATATATTAGCTTACAGAGGAAGTCACCTGAATTCCCAGTTGCAACTGGGAAGGCTTTGTCATGACAGGCATTAAGAATATTCTTCTTCTCTATCTAAATGTTCAGTATCTTCCTCTGTATTAATTGAGATGCTTCCAGTTTACCTTCTTTTAGTTTTTCATATATTTTTTTTGCACTTTCTCTTCCTCTCCTGGCTTGTTGCTTTCCTATCTTTCTTATTTCCACAGAGCCTAAACTCTTACATATGTGAAGATGAATCTTATATTCAGTTATCCACAAATAGTTACAAGTTATGTAAGAAGTGCAGTGCAGAAAGAATGAGCAGTTACTTCTATCTGTATGGGCAAAGGGAAGAATGACAACATGCACAAATTGAAAATGCAATCCTGCAAATCTCTTATCCCAAACACCATCCAAAGCCTAAGATACGTACCACTACCTGAGTTGATGAGATGAAGAAAACTTCCTGGAAATCACTAGGAAGGAGTTGGGTGCAATGCAATATTTTAAGAACACAAGAGATGAACAAAATCCTCTGTTAAAATCTAACTCAGCCACAAATGATCTAAGTAGCTTTAAGAAGCCTCAGATAGGACCCAAAGAATAGCCTATATTGTAAGGATTACCAAGTACATATATGAATCTTTTGAAAAATGTAGAATACAAAAAGTATGGATATCGGATACGTGAGCATTAGGTGTTAATATAAGGATCATTTATAAAGACTCCAAACTTAACACTTAGCTCTAAAGTTATCTTAAAGAACCAACAGATTTCCATCTAACCAGAGATCCTAGGCCTTCAAATGTTAGGATTTTATTACCATTTAGTGAAAAAAAAATTTGCATCAGCTTTAAACAATTAAATTATATAATGAAGTAAAAGTTAGTAGCCCAGATTTCATGCACCTTCTGAATTTCAGTGTGCATTCTCTGGGTGATCTAGAGTGCTGGGTTGCTTACAAACCTAGCCACAAGCAGCTGATCAGACTTGCACAGGCACAGTGGAAGCACTGTCAAAGCTCAGATGTTTTCCTGCTTGCTAGTGACTTTCAGCATAGCACGTAGTAGTATCAACAGTTTTGGAGAGTACGTGTTAATGCAGTTCAGTATCTTTACCTGTTATTTTACATGTATAACATTTCAAAATGGAAAAAGTTTTATTTAAAGGTAATAGAGAAGCTAAAATTGACCAATCTGATACTATATATTGATAAAAGTAAGCCTAAGTCAACACAGTATGAGGAAAGTTATACATCTTTTACCGATATATTTTCTTGCCCAACCCTAATACCAATTAAATTATTAGTTTTATTCATTAGGGAAGTTGCACATTATAATCTTTTTATATTTTTATATAATTATTTTTAATATATG